CAAAATAAAAAGCTTCTGCACAGCAAAAGAAACCATCAACAAAATGAAAAGGGAGCCCACTGTATGGGAGAACATATTTACCAATGATACATCTGATAAAGGGTTAATATCCAAAATATATAAGGAACTCATACAATTTAACAAAAGGAAGACAAATGATCCAATTAAAAAATGGGCAAAGGAACTAAATAGACACTTATCCAAAGTGGACATACAGATGACCAAGAGACATATGAAAAAATGCTCAAAGTCACTGATCATCAGAGAGATGCAAATAAAAACAACAATGAGATATCACTTCATACTTGTCAGAATGGCTATCATAAACAAATCAACAAATAACTAGTGCTGGTGAGGATATGAAGACTAGTACATTGCTGATGAGAATGCAGATTGGTGCAGCCACTATGGAAAACAGCCAGTATGGAGTTTCCTCAAAAAATGAAATATGGAACTTACATTTGACTCAGTGATCCCACATCTAGGAATATATCCTAAGAAATCTGAAACACCAATCAGAAAGAATGTATGCACCCCTATGTTCTTAGCAGCGCAATTTACAATAGCTAAGATCTGGAAATAGCCCAAGTAGAGGAGTAAGTTAACTGTAGAACAGGAACAAGACAGGGATGTTGGCTTTCACTACTCTTATTCAACATAGTACTGGAAGTCCTAGCCACAATGATCAGACAAGAAGAAAAAATAAAAGGCATTCAAATTGGAAAGGAGGAAGTAAAACTCTCATTATTCGCAGATGATATTGTTCATAGAAAATCCTAAAGACTCTACCAAAAAACTAGTAGATTTAATAAATGAATTAGGCAATATAGCAGAATACAAAATTAACACCCAAAAATCGATGGCTTTTTTATACATCAATAATGAATTCTCAGAAATTCACATATAACATGAGTTTGGGCCTGAATCGTTGTGTCCTCATCATTTCAACTTTTTCGGGGGGAGGGGGGAAGGCGAGGGCATGGGTGGGGGGAGTACGTACGTGGTGTGAGCCCTGGGCTTCCAATCTCCCCTGAGGCTAATATGTTGCCATGGTGGAATCCGCCAGTTATATACCAAGTCATACAGTTTTCATTCATAAATTTTACAAATATTTACTGAATGCCTACACTGTGCCAGGCATTTTAAAAACTTTTAAAAAATACATGTTTTTATTGATTTCAGAGAGAGGGAAGGAGAAGAAAAGAGAGAGAGAAACATCAATGATGAGAGAGAATCATCCACCGGCTGCTTCTGCATACCCCCTACTGGGGATCGAGCCCGCACCTGGGCATGTGCCCTGACCAGGAATGGAACTGTGATCTCCTGGTTCATGGGTCGCTGCTCAACCACTGGGCACACCCACTGAGCCATTTTGAGAACTTAAAAAAAAAAGTATTTTAGAGTGGAAAGAAAACAGCTTTTATTTTTTAAAAATCTTTATTGTTGAAATTATTATATATGTTCCCTTTCCCCCCATTGACCCCTTTTAGCCTGCCCCTGCCCCCTGCCCTGGGCTTCACCACCCTACTGTCTGTGTCCATGGGTTATGCATATATGCATACAAGTTCTTTGGTCCATCTCTTCCCACCCACCCCCGCCTTCCCTCTGAGATTCGACAGTCTGTTCCCTGCTTCTGTGTCTCTGGATCTATTTTGTTCATCAGTTTATTTTGTTCATTAGATTCCACACATGAATGAGATCATGTGATACTACTCTTTCTCTGACTGGCTTATTTCGCTTAGCCCAATACTCTCCAGGTCCCGCCATGCTGTCTCAAAGGGTAAGAGATCCTTTTTTTTAACTGCTGCATAGTATTCCATGGTGTACAGGTACCACAGCTCTTTTTTATTAAAATATTATTGTTGATTTGAGAAAGAGAGGGAAACATCGATTTGTTTTCCCAGTTATTTATGCATTCATTGGTTGCTTCTTGCATGTGCCCTGACTGGGGATGGGACAACATTAACCAACTGAGCTCTCCGGCCAGAACATTTGGAGGAATTCTCGGCTGGAGTCTGACCTGACTCCTTTCTGGAGCAGAAGAGTTGTTCCCTCACCCTAGCTCTGTGGTCGGCAAACCACGGCTCGCGAGCCACATGCGGCTCTTTGGCCCCTTGAGTGTGGCTCTTCCACAAAATACCGACTTCTGCGCATGGGCCACGAAGTTTCAATTGCCTGCACATGGTATTTTGTGGAAGAGCCACACTCAAGGGGCCAAAGAGCCGCATGTGGCTCGCGAGCCGTGGTTTGCCGACCACAGAGCTAGGGTGAGGGAACAACTCTTCTGCTCCAGAAAGGAGTCAGGTCAGACTCCAGCCGAGAATTCCTCCAAATGTTCTGGCCGGAGAGCTCAGTTGGTTAATGTTGTCCCATCCCCAGTCAGGGCACATGCAAGAAGCAACCAATGAATGCATAAATAACTGGGAAAACAAATCGATGTTTCCCTCTCTTTCTCAAATCAACAATAATATTTTAATAAAAAAGAGCTGTGGTACCTGTACACCATGGAATACTATGCAGCAGTTAAAAAAAAGGATCTCTTACC